TATATATATATATATATATATATATATATATTATTGGCATAATTAGGAACAGAGAGGACTTTGGTTCAACAGGAAGTCAAGTTATTTATTTATTTATATAGATAGGACGAATATTAATTAATTAAAGTATTTGTAGTTCAAAGTGATGAGTTTGAGTGTATTGTATGTTATTTATACACATTAGGTCATCTCTATTTTATTTTATTAAAATAGCAAATGATCAACCATGTAATATACAATTATATTCTAGGAATAGATAACCTAAGATGACCTTTCGAGAGATCTATTAATTAGCAAGTACAATCATACAATTATTATTAATTTTAGAACCATATAATTGTACTTTTTTCGTTAATTAAAAAAGGTGTAGTATAATTATAATATATAGCTAGGATTACATAAGTAAATTGGATCTGCCTTAAGAATCTTAGACTTAACCCTCATTTATCTACCTCCCCTAAAATACTTATTCATGGACAATATTTATATCAAATCAAGTAGTTAATTTTAACGATTCAAAAAAATATAGTGTATATATATATATAGTTTATCATAAATTAGTTAAAATACATTTGTCTATATGAAAGACACGACTTGAATTCATCGATTTTGTTTAAACATTCTAGTGTGAATAAATTTAATCATAGTCGTTGCACTCAAGGACGTGACTTGATTGTCACTAAAGCATGTTGAGTAACATAAAATCTCAGATTTGAATTCAATAAAGACAAACACACAAAGTGATTTCTTCTCTTCTGTCGAAATGTTTAATAGGTTGAGTTACCGAATACCTGGCTTAGATGCAAATCCCATCAAAATGGGTATAATTGGGCCCAATATCCGGCCTACTCACTTAAGGCCCAGTATTTCCATTGACTCCAATTACTACAAGAAAATCAAATATTAAGATTTTTTAAAAAAAAAATTGTCACAATTCCGTCACAAATTTCAAATTTAATTAGTAAAAGAGAGTACCCTCCACTATTATATTCACGAAAGTACTCTAAAAACGAAAAACTTTATTTCCCTTGTTAGTGAAAACGCGTTCATCTCTATAAGAAGGATTCTTTCAAGATGTGAAATGAAAGAGAAGGAATTTCACAGTTAAAATTTTGAATAAAACAATCTTTTATCTTCTTCATATTGAAAAAGTAAAAATAAATAAAAAGAATTGTTAATTGACAATCTCATTAAAAAAAATTATAATTTGACTTAGTAACACGATAAATGACATATTTCTCTTTAATCCCGCGTATAATCAACTAACTAACGTAAAGACTAAAGAAAGAAAGCAAAAAAGGAAATTATTTCATTTTTACAATATAGTTTTCATAAGACAAACTCATGAATCATGATGACACATCATATGTACTATCAAAAAAATTATACATTTTCTTTGTGGAAAAAATGAAAAAGTCCAACAAAGTGGACATATTATCCCTTATTATTTTCACCTTTAATTTTTCTTTCCACTTTGCGGCGTTATTCGAAACTTAAAATTCAAGTCAAGCCCTTAGATTGACAACTTGTTATTAGTACCCCAAATTTACGTACAAATCAGTGGCGAAATCAAATATTTAATTAAAAAATTAAGAAAAATTACGTGTATAAATAAAACAATTTTAACTTTATATAAAATATAAATTTTTTAATAAAAATATTCAGATGAACCCCTTACGCGTAGAGTTAGTGGACCCAAAATAAGTTCAATATTCTTAAAGATAGAGAAAATAAGACAGGTAATAATGTTAATGATAATGGTGTCATATCATAGGAGTTGAGGATTAATTTCTTCAAGCTCTGATTGTGATTTGCCAAGCAAAGTTAGTGGCATGACTTTAGGAGTGAGATACACATGTTTCATGGTTTAAGGAAAAAATATTATTCGCGCTCGATGTTTATGTTAAATTAATTAGAGGTAAATTGAAAATTTTAAATTTTATTGGAATGTGAAAATTCTATCGCATGTAAAATTTATGAGTTTCTGCAATAATAACTTGGTTTATACTAATCAAGTATTTATAAACATTTACTTTACAAAAGCTATTGAGTTCCCAAAAACTCATATATTGTATATTGGTTCCACGTCTCATACAAAATCAGTTTTTTTGTTTTCAACCCGCCCTACTCCCATCGATTCCACCACGACTCCCTCAAGTTTTCTTCTAATTCTTTTGTCAAGCATTTTCGTTGGTGAATTATGAAAAGACTATGAAAGTTCAGAACTTGCAAAAATGTTATTTCTTTAATGAATTATTCCATCTTTTAGCTTTATAAATTATTATTCTTCGCCCCGTCCCGTTTTCATCCCTATTTGTAGCATTGGACCAATCAACACTTGAATATTAGAATTTGGTCCATATTAACTAAATGTAGCCCAATTCTGTATCATAAATAAGCCCATCTGATTTGGGGAGGAATTGCACAAAATAGCCGCTTTAGGACCCCCTAAATTTTACTATCTTTAAAATTTAACCATCTCAAAATCAACTTCGGACCCAAATGAGTCTAAGGTTTGAATTCGGGTCTGAATGTAAGTGCAGAGGTGATGGTCTGAAGTTGACCCAAAGGTCTAAAGAAGAAGCATGAGAGGTCTAAAGTCGGAGTGAAGTAGGCAATAACTGGTCTGTCTTTTTTTTTTTTTTGATAACCGAGAAATCCTTCTGTGACCCGCCCTTTGAATCATTCACAACCTTCTAAACTCAGTAGATAATGGGCCCTCCCCTCTACCCTTCTCCACTTAAATACCGGGCTTCGCTTTGCATGGTTGGGGCTTGAACCTGCAACCTAAGCCACAAATCCTCCACCTTTAGCCACTTGAGCTAGGCCTTGGGGGATTAGGGTCTGTCTTTTAAGACATAGGCTCTCTAAAAAAAGGATTCACTATCGTTGCATGGGTTCTTTTTTGTATAAAACATATTGACTACAAATTGAACTAAAGAAAGAATGGTGACTGTTGCAAAAACTGGCTAACCTTTAAATAGTTTTTAAAGTCTAATATGTTTTTAATAGAGGTGTTCAAAGATGCTACATGGAGTCAAATATGGATGATGGAGCATCAATTTATGTCAATAGCTAGAACAAGTGCAACAACATATTCAATGTAATCACACAAGTGATGCCTGAAAACAATAGAATGTACACATATATTACTCTTACCTTTGTGAGGTATAAAAATTGTTTCCAACGAACCATCAGAAGTTGTTAGGAAAAAAAAAGTCAATGGGAGGCTCATGGGACTTGAAATCATACATGCCCAGACAAGGGATACAACAACATACTCAATGTATTTCGACAAATAGGATTTGGATCCAAACAAGACATTTTCATTCCCTATACTTCTGCAAAAAAAGAAACTTTATTACTTAATATAGGCTACTACTGATAAGTATGAACAAGATTAAAGAAAAACTTACAAGCAACCAAAAAGGATAAACATGGCAAGAAGGAAGTCTATTTCATAAGAACAAAAATAAAACACATATTGGCACCACTTTTATTCAATCAGTAGAGTGAAATAGATATAAGAATATCTCCAAATAGTCAAAAACTGGTGGTGCCAGTATATTCATAAGTTTTATCAGTACAACAATGATACAGTTTACATGTCAATTGGATTGCTTAACCCAAGGCAAAAATGTGCCGTGAAATATAACAGGAAGTGGGCATTGAGCCTCAGGCCTCTTCTTGTAAAGAGAATTATTCTGCTCATCTTAGCTACATGCCCAATGCTATAATAGTATCATGTATGTTTCATCCATAAACTAGAAGTTCACAAGTTAAAGATTTCAAATAAGTATGAAAATAACTCCAAAAATGAAATTCGACTCGAGTAATCAGAAAAGGGCTACTGAGGTGGCACCGTAGGATGATCTTGTTGAGCTGGCGCAGCAGCGGGCTGTTCTTGTTGGGGTGCTGCAGAGGGCTGCTTTTGTTGAGATGGTGCAACAGGCTGTTCTTGCACTGCTGCAGCAGACTTTTTTGGTTGAGCTGGGGCGGCGGGCTGTTCTTGTATGGATCTTACACAAGGCCTCCATGCTGTTTCTGTCGTCCCTGTAATATCCATTAAAGAGATACCCTTGGCAGCTAGATCAGTTCTGATCTGATCACTTCTAGCGAAATCCTTGTTTTTCCTTGCTAGTGCTCTTTCCTCTATTGCATGCAGAACATCTTCCTCTGTTAACTCAGCCCTTTTCAATGCCCTCTCTTTAAATTGCTGCAAAACCTGCACAACAAAATAAATGAGTTAAATAAGACTCAACATCTGAAAGTGTCATATAGTAAAAGGAAACAAATGTGCTCTCCATTCCAATTTGTTCAGCCTTGCTCGACTAGAAACAAGATTACCAAGAAAGAAAAACTTTGGACACATAAACCAAATAAGATTTAAATACCAAAAGTACACCTGTATTAAAAAATTGTTTTTGTATGGGATGAGGGTTATAACACAACTGACATGATGGAAATGACAACATTAACTATTTCTAAGTATAGAAAAGTGCTAGTCTTTTTTAAACAAAAGGAAAGAATGCCAAAAAAAAATTAAGACATAGGGAGTACTATTTCTGGGCACCTCAGCACAAGTTGAACCAGCAAGCAAGCCAAGAACATCCAATACTGCCTTCACTTCTTTCAAGAGCTCGGTCAGGGACAAAGATGCAGATAAGTGTTGTTGCTTTTGCTGCTTTTTCTGGAAAGATGAAGAGATAATGGAATGATTCAGTTATATCACACCAGCCATATGCAGAAGTTAAAAAGGAAAGTAGAGTTCCCACCTTCAGTATGGTCAAGCAACTATTCATGAGTTTAAGGGCTTCTTGAAGAGCAGCGTTTAAAATTGTAGGTGTATGCAAGTCATCAGAGAGCTTTGTCTTCAACTCATTACGCAGCTTATTGATGCATTCTTGGGCCTGAGGGGTAACACGCCCCTTTGCATTTTTTGCAGTTTCAGTTCCTTGTTGGAAAGCTGACAAGGCTTCTTCAGAATCTAGTAAGGTCTATCAATCACAAAAATTACCCGAATAAATGTCTAAAAATAAGACAGATGCTAACTATAGATTTGGATTGGGGAACTATGGTTTTGAAGTCGCATAAGCATTCATGTAACAGGAGAAAAATCATTTATATATATGTATATATAAAAGCTTCAGACAACCTTTCATTTTTTAATTGAACTAGTAAATTGCTGAAAACATAAGCCCAAAACCATATTGCTCAGTTCAGCTATTGTGCATGCGAAGTAGCAATAGAACCACAATCCTAACAGCCTCGACTGCAGATCTAAAAGGAACATGCATCGACAGACAGAAATTAAAGAGGAAAACAAAAAACAGCATAGGAATTGCGTGTACCAATCATCAAGAAGCAAATAATCAAACTTTTTTGGAGAATGGTAACAGTAAAGCAAAAATAATTGAACAAGTGGTATTAAAAGTACATTAAATGTGTATTCCTGACCTGATAAATGTAGAACACAGATTCTGAAGCAATTTCTATCTGTGATATTGAGTAATTAACCGGAGATCGGTAGTGATTCCCCAACAAGAAGTACCTCAATGCAAGGGGATGGTACAATCGAGTAACCTACAAAATATGTATGATATGATCCATAACATTTTATAAAACAAACATATTAAGACAGTAGCTAAAGATTATATTCTACCTCACGTATAGTGAAGAAATTCCCCAATGATTTCGACATTTTCTCGTCATCTATGTTCACAAAACCATTATGCATCCAGTAGCTAATATTACTCTCCCGGCAAGCAGCGCAACTCTGGGCAATCTCATTTTCATGGTGAGGAAAAGTCAAGTCCATTCCACCACCATGTATATCAAAGGAATGTGTCAGATAGTGCGCACTCATTGCGCTGCATTCTATATGCCAACCTGGTCTTCCAGGACCCCAGGGGCTCTCCCAACTTGGTTCACCAGGCTTTGCAGACTGTAAAAGTGAAATTGGCATGTCAGTCTAAAATAGTAACTCTGAAGAAAAGTAAACAAAAACTTCGCACCTTCCACAAGGCAAAATCAGCAGGATTTTTCTTTCTTGAATCAACTTCAACTCGTTCTCCAGCTCGATTATCTTCTAATTTTCGTCCAGACAATCGACCATACTCTGGAAAACTATCAACAGAGAAATAAACATCTCCATTGATTGTGTATGCACAGCCATTAGCCATTATCTGCAGGTTACACCTCAAGATCATTAGCATTAAGAAGAGAGCAGAGTATATCTGAATCATCATATCATATCATATATCATATATATATATAAAAGAGAACCTTAGGCCCGCTTATGTGGCGCTACCACAAACCAGAATTCCCTTTTAATTTATTTATTTCCAAAAATAGTCTTCCCTTACATGAAAAGTTGTGCCTTTTATGAAGAGTTGTGACTTTAATGAAGAGTTGCGACTTTTATGAAAGGTTGTGACTTTTATGAAAGGTTGTGACCTTTCCGAAGGGTTGCAACTTTTCTAAATAGTTGTAACATTTCCGATAAGGCACAATCAACATTTTTCACACTACCCTTTATTGTCTATAAATAGAGGGATTTCCTCTCATTTTAAAACAACGAAAATTTTGAACCTCTTCTTCTTCACAATTAAATATTTGTGTACTTTGCTCCTGTTGAGTGGCTTACTGACACCATTGCTTATGTTACAGATCCTGGTATGTATTTTTTAGAGTCATTAATTTATGCTTATGTTATTAAGGATAAATGATAAGAAGTAATAATTTTCATTTTCCTTTGCATTATTAATTTTTTTTTATTTTTTTTTTGAGAATGGTAAAGTTGTATTCATCAGCAATGAGGGTATGCTGGCAACCAAACAAAAAAACATTCAAAGGCCAAATAGTCATGATTACAAAGAGCTTGTTACTACGTAATCTTGTATGTAAGATAATATAGTGTTTTAGTTTTAATGACCGATAGGCTTTAATTATAATTTTAGAAATTCCGTGATATTAAATTCCCGCGCGAAGCACGGGTAATTTACTAGTAAAAGAATAAAACAAAAAGCAGCTCAAGGTAAATCTAAGATAGAAAGATAATATGATTGCATACTTTAAGCAGTATTTTGCACTTTTCTCCCATCCAACACTGAGTTTTACTTCTGCTAACCTAACTGTTAATCCTTACTACATATACTTCTTCTCTCACTATATACAAGAATAAATGTTCCAGACAATCTTTCAATGCAAAGCATACTATCACGGAATGTAGTTCTTAACTTCCTATTGCTTTTTTTTCAAAAGTAGCAGAAAATGACAAACAAGTGAGCAAGATGGGCATCCATATTATTGAACTTCAGAGAAGGAGAAACCACATATAACGTCAAATAAACACAACAAGATGAATCCTAGATCCTACACTATCAAAGATTCAAAATGACATACATGGTTTTCAAGATCATTCAGAAAGCATCTCTATCTAAAGGAGGAGTCTATTACAATCTCTATCCAAGGAAAAGAAATGAGAGAAAAGTTCGCATCAGAAAACTGCAATAGCATATTTAACAGAAACAGACCTCACCTCTGCTCAAGTGGGATTTCAATTCAGGGAAAAAATGGGAGGGATCACATCAATAAGCTTTTACTTGTCAGAATAGGTTTTGGAAGGGATTATCTAAATGTGGGTACCTTAGCTATCATTTCCTTAATCTGCTCCATGTGCTCAGTAACACGTGGCTGATGAGTCGGTTGGAGGCACTGGAGATCATCCATGTCTTTTAGAAACTCTTGGCAGTATCGACCACTCAGAGCTGTTGGGTCTTCTCCAAGCTCATTAGCCCTACGAATTATCTGGAAAGAACCAACTGTCATGCATTTGATGTATTATATACAGTGAGCTAACTGATACTGCCAAGCTTATCCATAAAAATTAAAAAGAAAAGGGTCTAAAATTCCTTTAATCTCGGGAAGAGAGAACATAAAAAGAGACTTACTCCCCAAAAATTGTATATCTCACCTTGTCATCTACATCGGTGAAGTTGCGCACATACACAACCTCATATCCCAAGTATTTCAGATATCTGTAAATTCCAGATCATGGAAAATTTCTATCAGACTGTTGAGTAATTTGAAGTAAAAACAATCACAAACTACTAAAAGAACTAATCTAAATGCACTTACATTGATTTATACCACAACACATGATAAATAACATAAGTCTCATCACAATTAAACAGATGAAGATCAAAACAAAAGACCCTCAAGGATTTTTTTCTTCTTTCTTTTCTCCTTTTGGTTGGAAAGCAAAGCACCTTTTGGTTCCCATGTTTAATGACCTCAAGGAGATACTAGTCCAGGCTAATGTGGTACACACGTGCCAAATTACTATCAACAAGATAGTCTTCAATTACTTGCTAAAAACTATTCCCTCTATCCCATTTAGTTCAACAAATTACTTTTAGAAAAACAGAAAACTCATTTTAATTTTTTTTTTATGAAGTAAATGTCCCATTGAAGGCATCAAGAAGATGCAAATTAGTTACAAAAGTAGAAGCAAAAACAGTTGGTCTGCTGGCAACTCATTTTAATTTGGGGTCTCTTAAACTACAAATTCTCTAAATCTCACTCAACTAACATAATTTAAGTGTAAAAAGAGTAACTAAACAATAAAACCAACTAACTAATAGCCTATATGGATAGAACATAAAAGTACAATTCCAATTAATTGGTTCAAACTAGATAATTCAGAATAATAACATCTAGATTCCTCAAAATGAGAAATGTTTTACTCAATCTTCCTACTCAATTTCTGGTTGTTTCTCCACTCACATACAACAAACGGAATCAAACTTCCAACTCTTATCAAACTAGCTACCCAATTCCTCTAAATGAAACTTATATATTCGAACTTACCGACTTTTTATAGCCTTTTTGGGAAAACATAAGTGCTTCTGCAGAGTAGTCGAAGTGTTTTTCAGAAGCTAAAAGAAAGTAGTTTTTCCCTAAAAGAAAGCACTTTAGAGAAAAATTCACTTACAAGCACTATTAAAAAATTTATTGGTAAAACACAAACTACTTATCGACAAAAGTACTCTTTTTGAAAGCATTTTTCAAAATAAGCTGATCATTGAAGCTTGGTCAAACGAGCTAAATCTCCAATCATGTTCCTAGATCAACCAACTTCCTCTATGTGAGAATTACAGCACAATTCAACACCAATACATAACATAACAAGAATTACACAAGCAAAAACTACAAACAGCTCGAATCAAATCCAGAAAAAGCAACAATTTAATGCAGTTACAATTGAAACTTAGAAATTTGACCTGTAGAGAAGGTCGAAGGCGACATAGGCACGAGCATGGCCGATATGACTGTAATCGTAACTGGTAACGCCACACACGTACATTTTGACCTTGCCAGTTTCCTTAGGTATGAATACTTCCTTCTGTCTCGTCATTGAATTATACACTTGAAATTCCACCTTCTCGTTCGCCATTTCTCAGAAATATCTCCGATCGACCGGAACGGACAGTCAATTTACTCCTCTTCGTACAAAAACCCTAACTCCGGCCGTTCAGATTTGTGTACACTATCATATAATAAGAAGCATAATTTTTTATTCTGCTTTTATTTTCCTCTCTTTATTTTGGAAAAAACTTTATTTGCTTAGTATAATTTAGGGGAAAAAATCACATTTAGATTTTAAAAAAAATTGCGTTAAATGAGTCAACTTGTAGTGAGTTGACTAAATCGAGTTGGGCTCGTGGTGGAATAGTTGGGATTCATGAACATACGAGAAAAATTATCTAGTATTTTTATATTGTAAAAATCATATTTTTCTTTTTAAGACTGGGCACGCAAGGGGAAATAGGGACGAGGATTGCAAGGTGGGAATCGAAACCCATGCTTTCAAAAATGAATCTTACAATATGTGAATCAAAGTTTTAATTATGTCTCAATTGATATGATTCACTTTCCTTTTTAGTCAGTTTCATCAAAATTGGGACATTTCTATATTTAGTAATAATTTAACTTCGATATGTTCATTTTACCCTTAATGAAATAATTTAGACACTTATTCTAGACTACAAATTTCAAAACTTTTTTTTTCTTAAATTTTATATTAAGTCAAACTAACTCACATAAACATCGGATTGCGTGCAAAAACACAAATGAAAAAAGTGTTGGGCTTGTTTTTTTTTAGAGTTCAATTGGGCTTGTGTTGTAATTTGTAAAGGAAATGAAACTTGAATTGCAAAGATTAAGCAAAAATTCATTCTTTGGGCATATTGTCTACCAAAGCCACACACATTGGCCCAACATGGGCTTCGTTTTGGTTTGGACATTCTTAAGCAAAAATTCTATTTTTTGTACTAATAATAACTTATAAATTTTGTACTTTCTTGGTTAATATATAGAGAGAAAAGATTATGTATATATAGTAGGTAAATGATAAACTATTTTGATGAAAATTATGTACCAGTTAATACACTATTTATTTGTAGTTGGTGTTTATAAAAAACAAGACAGTTTGGTAACTACACTTCACAGTTCAAATAATGATGTTATGAGTTTAAATTTCAATAATCTCATGACAACTCCTCGTTTAGAAAAAATTTATGTTAACTATGTGTGATCAAGAGAGGAATTTGTATTAATTAAGTGGTGCTTAACTTGCTATATGACAATCATGTTCTTAATTGGTAAATTGAATGTCCTATTTGAATCAAGACTATAAAATGAATGTCGCAAAGTCATAGTAATAAATACAAGATGAATATACTTATACAAAATTAGAAAAAATTAAAAATGATCAACTTCATTGCAAGATGCAAGCTATGTAGGAAGTAGCAAACACATTTAAGGACAAGATGATTATATAAAAAGTTTCTTGAGATTGTATGATAGTTTTGACCAACTCAAAAGGCAAGTCTTTATGAAATCATAGGAATATTGAAAGTGTTAAAAGAAGACAAAATATATCTAAAATCATGTGGAAGAAAATCAAATTTATCGGAATAAGTGTAGATGTAATGAAAGGTAGGATACAATGGTCATATATCAAAAAATTTAGTAGCTCAATTAGTTATCTAAATTTATACATCTTTTTGACGATTTGATTTTTCATCTTGTAATCCTCTTTCACCATTTTTTCACCTTTCTCCTTAATTTAAAAAAAAAAGGATAAAAAAAAACGTAGGTCAAATTCTTTCTAAGAGTCTTTTAACCATATTAGAGATATTTAGGCTAGTAGGAAACAAATAAAACTTTTATTATCTACTATGATTATTTTTTTTGGTACAAAATTGACCTAAGATGAATTTAAATTTAAAAAAATAAATTATAAATGACAATTCATATGATCAAATTTTATCTCATTTTGGTAGGAACATATAAATTGTTGTTATGTCAAACTTAACATCAAATTATACAAAACCAAAAATCAAAATATATTTGCATACCATCTCCCAAATACATCTTTCTACTTCAATATTTTCTTTACAAACTTTAATCAAATACTATCCAAAACGCTTGGACGACTTTTCTATTCATCTAATTCATTTTGTTCTAAACACTTTTAAGTATTTTCTCTTAAAATGCCATTTAGGTCACATAGTAATTACGAAATTCTCTCAAATTCAATACTATAGGCAAAGAACAAAAAAGGGTGTGATAAAATGGTTTATATAAGTCTTTCAATCTTAATGTTAGTCTAGAATTTGAACAATGAAAAAGAAAAAACTTTTGATATAAAGCATTTTACCTTCTTAATCATGAATTAGTGAGTTTTTAAATATCATATATATGGATTTCGTTTGATTTTCTAGTTTGAATCAGCCTTTATCTAAACCATTAATATACTTCGTTTTATATATGGATACTGTCAGGAGATAAAGTCAAAATTGAAGTAAGTCCTTATGATTCAACCAAAGGGCATATAAGTTATCGACTCCACAGCAAAGATTTGAAGGATTCGATTTTCAACTTCACCATTGGGAATACAATTCGAGATGAAAATTTTCTTCCATAATCATACATAGAAAGCCCAACTACCAAAGAATATGGTGTAGCGGAGAAGCTCTTTCTTTAACCAAATATCAAAAAATTCTTGATACAGAGTGTTTTTTTCGAATGTATATTGAACAAAAAAACCCAATTAAAAATATTTCGTTTTTTTAAAAAAAGAATATTTAATTTGCAAAGAGTGTAATACGACGTCGTCTTATGAAAAAAAAAACCCTTAAGAAATAACAAAATGCAGACCGTCACTTGCACCGCGCATTTTAGCACATAATACTGTTTCTCCAAACCCGAACGTTAATACCCACCCTACCCCCACCACCCACCACCCCACCTATATAAGCTTGCATTCCCGGCGATTTCACACAGAAAAGCCATTAACACCCAAAAACGAAAAGAAAAAACAGAGAGAAACAGAAATTTGTATAAACTGATATAAACAGAAATTTATATATATAAAGGTTGGAACTTTGAGTTTTATAGTTTGAAAATTTGAATGTTTTTGTGAGGTGAGGTGTTTGTTCATGGCAATGGGACATGAAAGATCGAAACCTCTGCATAATTTCGACTTACCTTGTGGTTTAAAGTGGGGTAATCAGAAGTTTTTGAGGTGTGCTAAGGTGGATTCCAACGGCGAAATTCCTCATTTCCATCGGAGATCAAATGGGTCTGACTCAATCGGACGGCGGATGAGAGAAATCGACGGTATGGTTAACAATCGGAGATCGAGTGTGGTTAAGGATGAGTTGTTGAAGGAGACGGAGGTGGGTTTCACTCGGAAATTCAGGTCGGCGGGTTACAACGGTGCTGCCGGAGGCGGCGGCGGAGATGGAATCGCGGCTGTAAGGGAGAAGTTGATGTTTGATCTTCAAGCAGAGGCTGATAAGATGAAATACGCGATTTTTAGAGATGGGTTGGAGGAGGAAGTGTCTGTAACTCCGGCGACGGCACCGACGGAGGTTACGACGGATGTAGATGCGTCTAGGCCGTGGAACTTACGTACTCGAAGAGCGGCGTGTAAGGCGCCAATGAACGGAATCGCCGGCGGCGGTGGCGGTGGCGGCGGATCGAATGGAGCTTTGAAGGTTGATGTTATCAGAAACAATGGTTCGTCTTCGCTATCGCCGTTAAGGTCTGAGATCAAATCTGTAAGACTTCGAAGTGAGTTTGCCGGTGCCGGAGATTCATACACCGGCGAGAAGAGAAAGAGAACGAATTTCTCCGTTTCGCTTGGTCGGAGAGAGATCGAAGAGGATTTCATGGCAATGGTTGGACATAGACCTCCTCGTCGACCCAAAAAACGAGCTAAAATGGTTCAAAAGAATTTAGACGTAAGTATTTTATTTGAAATTTTTGATCATTTTGATGAATTGTGATTTGAAATTTACTGTTCCATTGCTGTTTGTTTTGCAGACTTTATTTCCCGGGCTATGGTTGACGGAGATTACACCGGACTTATACAAAGTCCCCGATGATCAATAGATTGAAAAGGTAAACCTTATCATAGCGGAGCCAGTATTCGAAGCTTATTGAGTTCTAAAATCAATAAATATGTATATATTCAATAGATTCTTAAGACAAAATACAAGATTTGAACTCGTGGTAGAGTCAGGATTTTCAGTGAGGAGGTTTCGAAATAGATTCTCAAGTTGTGTCAAGGGGGTTTGAACGAATGATCTCCTGGCTCTGTCTCTGGTTTGAACGAAAATTACTGGCCCATAGTCGACAGTCTAGCTTTTCCCCTCGATAAACTAATGTAGTTTCAGATTTGAATATCAAGATTGATTTCAAAATGTGTAACTTAATTGTGTTGTATATACAATGTTTGTTTTTGCAGATGGTGACTTTGATACTGGTATAGTGGCATCACCTTTTCGAGTTTGTGAATTTGATGAAACTGTTGAATTCCCGTTGGTAACGAAAAGGGGTGTAAGAGGAGGATAAAGTTGCTGCTGCAATGCTAATTTTGCGTAGAGGTGATTTGATTTGTTCATATTTTCTCTGGTTTATGTTCACTGGAATAAGTTTTAACATAGTGTGATGTTCTTAGATCAAAGACAATTGTTCATATAGTGAAAAAAAACTTTCATCTTTTCAAGTGCGTATTACATTCTACATTATGTTCATGTTCTTCTCAAACTCGAAACTTTGTGCTTCTCATTGACATTTAACGCAGTGGAATGTTCATAGATCAACACCGATCATATTGAAAGATTTGTTAATCTTTTCAAGTGCATTATGTGCTACATTATGTTTCTGTTCTTTGTCTAATAGTTGCAATTACTCGAAACTGTGTGCTTCTCTTGACACTGGTTACTCATTTCTTGTGTCTAATAGTTGCAATTCCTTTCATATTCGTTCTAAAACTCGGACAAAGCTGACTGCTCGATTTTGTTAACCTTCATATGTTGCCTCTGTTTTTGTTGAACTTGATTAGAAACTAGGATTCATAGTAGTTATTGTGTTGGCTTTTGTGTCTTGTCTTTTAGGCTCAACCAAAATCTGGAAACTGGTCTATAACCTTATCTTATTAAGCCTGGGGATTTACTTGGTACAAAATGGTTTTTTAGATACCTGTCCCTTTGCATTTGCTGTCCCTGTTCCTGCATCTTTTCTTCTTATGTAATAGAGGCATTCAAGCCAGTTCACGCACACCTCGACTATTTAACCAGGTATTTACTTTCTTCCACCTATACATCCACCGTGTAACTCTGTTGACCAAGGCTTAGGTAGAGTGGCAATGAGAAGAAATTACCTAGCATTTTTGTCGCTTTTTTTTTTTAATATAATGGTGGTGTTCAAGCCAGTCCATGCACACCTCGACTCTTCAACCACGTATGTGCTATCTTCCACCAACATATACACTGTGTAACTCTATCCACCAAGGCTTAGGTTGTGTCAGTCGGAAGGTATAACCTAGCATTTTTTGCTGATGCTGTGATTTGAACTCTGATCTCTCATGGTTTTCATCCACTTCATTGACCGCTTCACCACACCCTTAGACTGCATTAATTAGTATATACTAAGATGATCGCTGCAGTGCATTAATGTTAAGCAAGTGATTTTGTTTAGAGGACATAACTTGAGCTTGCACTTTTGATACATGTTTTCCGTTTCTTTTCCTTTATTTGGGTTTTAACTAATCTAGATTCGGGGTGCGTAAACCGTAAGGCCCATTTAAAGGTGAAGCATTGTGTATCGAAACTTTTTCTCATATTTAGAACTCGAACCGAAATTACATATGTTCCTCTTGGTGCATTGTCTAAACATGTTTTCTATTGATTAATGCTATGTTTAGTACATGTTGAGATGAGAGATGGGCTGAATTTAAGTTGGTTCGGTTTGGTAAAGATTCCTTATTTATGTGGCCTAATATTACTTTTTAGACAAGTAACATTATAATAATAAAAAGAAAATAGAAGGAATTTTAAAATTACAATGTTTAATTTTTGCTCTTAAATTTGAAAAATGGTACTCTTATGTTTTGTAGGGTTTTTTTAAGCATAATATTTCTTGGTAGGCGGAGTTATTCAAACATTTGTGGAAGATAACGCACAAACAAAATAATTATTTTTCTATAAATATAGTTCCCTTTGAATTTTTTTTTTGGAGGGAAACTGGATTAGCTTTACAAATTTGACTTTTTGACAAAGTGATGAAATTTAAAATTTGAGATTATCAATCCCTAGATTTTAAAATATTATAATATGGGATTTTTATATTGACATGATAAAACTATATGAAATTAGTTGGTTAAAGCACGATTCTTCCAATTTGGAGGCATTTTAATGATTAGATCTTTTTTTAGCTTAAGTCATTTTAAATTTATTTATACCTTTTTCACTTTAATTCCTTGGAATAGCACTCTAATATTTAATTATATTAATAAGTCTCATAAAATTGTTTTACCGTTGGACTAAGGGTGTGTTCAGTATCAATATTTTTTGAAAAATATTTTCTTAAAAAATAAAAAAGTTTCGCGTGTGAATGTATGTAAAATAAGTTCTACAAAATGGCATTCCACGTTCATTATGTCCTTCCCATGGCCCCGACCCTCCAACATACTTGCCTTTCCCCGTAGCCCTCATCCCCATCACCCCGCACCCCTACCTCCGTCCTCATTTTTCTTCGTACTGAACACACCTTGAAGCCCACATCTTTTTCATATTGGATTAAGTCAGGCCCAAAATGTTCAAGGTTATTTGATCATATGTTATTTTATGGGCCGGCCCAAGAAAATCTGTCTATTTAGGATTTATTTGGTTGCCTTGATAGTATTTTTCTTACCAAAAATATAATATCTAAATATGGGGGGAAAAAACACATGAATTATTTAGTCATTAAGTTCTTCTATAGTTGAATATATAAAATCATGTTATTTTGTTGTTGTTTCTGTCGTGTTAGGGTCTAATTGTTGTTAAAGAAAATGTCAACCACAAATTTAATAAAGTATGAAAAAGGTGTTCAATTAATTAACAACAATTAGGTCGCATATAAATGGAAAATTAAAGGTGACTAATATTTTGAATGGTTCCTAATAATTGATACATTTCTTAAAATTAAATTGTAGACTTCAAAAGTAGGTACAACTCTTAACTTATATCAACATACATAATTTACAATTGGTAAAAAAAACATAACTAGAAAAGTTAGATTTCTTTTTATTTGGCCCCAACTTGTTCAATATTAGTTTTAGATTCTAACTAATTCAGATTCGTGTAACATAAAAACAATTAAAGAAGACGTACTCTATTTTCTTTTTAAAAAATCATAAATTTCAAATCTAAAATATCTAATTAAAACGAAAGATTCTTATTCATTTCACAGTTAGGTCATTCATGATTGGGACAAGACCAAATCAATTAAATGAATAGACCATGCTTTGTATGGATTTGACTCTTAGCCAATGGTATTTTAGATCTAAAATATAGCTACAACAGAATAACTACATAGTCAAATATTTAAATTAATCACATTTGCAACCAAATCAAATATTATATTACTTCAAATAAAGGGCCTCAATCATTGATTAATATTCTAAGACATTATTGAGATCTAATTCTTGTCTAGCTAGATGCCATTATAGACAACACAAAATGGACTAAAATTGAAGATAAAATTCAAATGATAAGATTTAAAGTTATTTATTTTGTAGACAAACAAATGAAAAAGTAACCTTCAATATTAAAAAAAAGCACAAAAACTTATCTACTAAACAACAATATTCCAAGTAAAAAGAAAGAAAAAAAAAGCATGAAAAGCCATAAAGGAAGGTGGCTCTTGTTCTTTTGTTCCCTTTTCTCATTTGACCTATATTCTTTCTTAAAATAATTAGTAATTTTTTTTTACCTATAAGAATCCTATGTTGATATTAATTAAACCTTTTTGAGTTTTCACATGTTTTTCCTTTAAATTTTTCTATCCGTTCGATATTTGTACTAGGGTCTTTGATAAATTCAAATTCATGTTTCATAAGGCTAATTAAAGAGGGTAACATTCTCTGTCAGATTTTCTTTTTCATATCAAGGCTCGAACCTCATACTATAAGAATTCTATTTATTCCACCACAACTCTTAGAAGTGTTCCTCACACTTTTACTTTTCTAATTAATGACAGTATTAGAATTTTCACTAAAAGGGATTCAAAACTTAAAAAAAAAAAAACTAAAGAAATCAAGAAAATTCAACATATACTAAATATACAAATTTAATCTATCTATACAATGCAGTTTAGAATGAAGGGGTGTCAACTAACTTATTACCACATGTCAAATTATACTATAGTGTAAATATTATATAAATTGAATCTGAGAAATTAAACAAGAAATATGTTCTATAAACTATATGAAGATTTTTGATCTATGAACCAAAAAATAAATAAATTATTTCTTCTTTTTTGATTTGCCATTACAAAACAATGAACCTAAACCAAACAAAGCTTGTGGAATATTCAAAACAGGACTCACATGAACTCCATTGCCATAAGATCTACTATAACTCTTCTTCAATGGATGTGATTGACTCTTCTTTGATGATGATGAATGCAATGGATGGCTCTGATTAAACGACGAAAAATTCGTCGAAAATGAAGAAGAAGATGATGAAGATGATGATGATGATAAAGATGAACTCTTTCTAAGAACTTTTATTTTTTCTCTTTGTTCTCTTTGTGAACTTTGTTTTTGAAATATTTTTGGATTCTTTTGTATTGGAGCAGAGCCAGTTGAGTTACTTCTGGTTAGAAATTGCAAAATGTGGCTATTTTGGTAATTCAAACTACTACTTCTTCTGAATTGCCAAAATGGTTTTGGTTGTGGCAATTTTTCTGTTTCTTGTTCTTCATCATCGTCAAGATCAGTTGATAAGAATTCCTTTAAGCTTTTTTTCTTTGTATTTTCCTTACCATTTTCAAGAAGTGATTTTTGTGGCTGTTTTTGCAATTGCAAAGATTTTGGCTGTTTTTGCAAAGATTGGTTGATTTCTACTAAGGGTGTTGATTTCTTGATTTCAAAAGGGAGGATCTTGCCATTGGAGAAAAGTTCATCAGCAGAAGAGATGAATAGTTGTTTTTCACTAACACAAAAATCAAAATCAAAATCAATGGTGGATGATGATTCAAGAAGAAATGCATCTGATCTATAATGATGTTGTTGTTGTTGATGGCATTCAAGTGGAATTCCATCATCATGAGAGAAGGAGATTCTTGGACTAACAACTAAACTTGCAATCTCACAACATACATCAACAGCCATGAAGTGGCTATTTTTTAAATGATTCTTGATTTTTGTTTTGAGTTATGGTGTTGATTTCAACAGTTGAAGAAAGAGGGTGAAGTTTAATTTATAAGAAGAAAAGATGTGTTGTAAAAAGAAGAAGATGTTTGGGGGTTGGGGTGAGGGGTAGGGGGCGAGGGGAATGGTATTTTTTTTAATTTTATATTTTGGTAAGAATGAAGAGTGAGCTTTTGATTATATATATAGTACTATATGGTATGCTAGCTTAGGCTAGAAAGAGCATTTTCAAGATTCTATTATTGGTACAACAAAGTGGTGTTGCCAAAACAATGGCTTGTTTCACTTAGGTGTAACATTGAGATTGACATTACATGCTAAATGATCAAA